GGGGGAAAAATGGGGAATTTGGGGGGCAAAAAAAGGGAATTTTGGGGGGCAAAAAAAGGGAATTTTGGGGGGAAAAATGGGAATTTTGGGGGGGAAAAATGGGGGTATTTGGGGTTTTTGGTGTCCCACTTGATGCTGCTCTGTACCACGCGGTTCTTTGGGTACAGAATTCAGGATTTTGGGGTTTTTCTGGTGCAGAATTCAGGATTTTGGGGTTTTTCGGGTGCAGAATTTGGGTTTTTGGGGTTTTTTTGGGGTCCCACTTGATGCCGCTCTGCACCACACGGTTCTTTGGGTGCAGAATTCAGGATTTTGGGGTTTTTGGGGTGCAGAATTCAGGATTTTGGGGTTTTTCTGGTGCAGAATTCAGGATTTTGGGTTTTTGGGGTACAGAATTCAGGATTTTGGGGTTTTTCTGGTGCAGAATTCAGGATTTTGGGGTTTTTGGGGTGCAGAATTTGGGTTTTTGGGGTTTTTTTGGGGTCCCACTTGATGCCGCTCTGCACCACGCGGTTCTTGCAGCTCCTCCAGCAGGTGCAGGCCTGGTTGCACTCGAAAATCAGGGGGGGCTCGATTTTATTGAACTCCTGCAGCAGCCGCCCGTCCTGGGGGGGAAAAGGGACACTGAAACACCCCAAAATCACCCTGAAAAATAGCCCAAAAATACCCCAAAATCACCCTGAAAAACAGCCCTAAACACCCCGAAATCACCCCAAAATCACCCTGAAAAACAGCCCAAAAATACCCTTAAAAATGCCCCATAACACTCCGAAATCACCCTGAAAAACAGCCCAAAAATACCCTTAAAAATACCCCAAAACACCCCAAAATCACCCTTAAAAACAGCCCAAAAATACCCTTAAAAATACCCCAAAACACCCCAAAACCACCCTTAAAAACAGCCCAAAAAACACCCTTAAAAAAAACCCAAAACACCCCAATTCATCCTTAAAAACAGCCCATTTTTGGGGATTTTTTGGGGGGAATTTTTTGTATTTTTGGCATGGTTTTGAAAGAAGTTTTGGGATTTTTTTGGGGCATTTTTTTGGAATTCTTAAGGGATTTTTGCAGATATTTTTGGGGTTTTTGGGGGTTGTTTTTGGGGTGGTTCCAGGGGATTTTTGAGGACATTCTGGGGATGGTTTTGGGGTGGATTTGAGGGAATTTTGGGGTTTTTTGGGGGTTTTTTCCCCTCTCACCTTGTCGTACCAGCAGCGGATGCTGAGCTGCCCGCAGAGGCAGTTGGAGGAGGAGCAATCGTCCTGGCAGGTGCAGTGCTGCAAAACAGCCCAAATTC